GGAACCTGCTAGCGCTAAGTTGCTAACTGGTTAGCAAGATGCTTCCGACAAACCGGCTACAACCAAACTAGCTTGAGAACCTTCCGCCACAGCAATCCTGCCCTTTTGATAAACGACCAATCACATTCACTTTATTCATTCGTGTAAAGTTGAGCACCACCTGGAAGAATTTGGAAATGCAACAGTTGGATAGGCCGCTTCCCTACGACTTTAATAGTAAAAATCCTCATTCCATTGGCAGATTATCTTATTTTCATACTCAAATCAATAAATACACTTAATTTAAGAAATGTGTATGTATTTCTAGATTGTTTTTGCAGTGTAGTAGGTTCTTATATGCTGAAAGTCTAGAATATAGAGCAGGGTGTGCTTTGCTGTTATAAATCACTTGTTATAAATGTAAATAATATGTAAACAGTGGCGCTCCGATGAGGAACAGAATTAATTGTCAGAATTTATTATTTTCCATCAAAACAAATCTAATATATTTGACGGCTGATGGATGTAATGTTCTACAGAAGAGACCCGGTACCGTCGGTCAGTCTGGAGATGCATGAGCAGAACATGAGAGGACTTCGAGGAGCAGAGGAGATGAATTCTCACCACCTCCTGGAGCAGCATCTCTACAAAGGCAGGAAGCAGGTAAAGATGCTCAGTTAGGCAGGAGATGCACACCCACACATCAGCTTCCATCCGTCCTCACGTCCGCTCCTCTTTCTGGCCCAAAAGCACCGTCACAAGTTCAGTCGCAGCCAGTTTGGCATCAACCAGGATGAAGATGAGGTCCAGGAGATCTTCCAGAGAACCATGAGGAACCGTCTGGAGTCCTTTAAGTCTGGAAAGATGGGCGTGGCTCCACCGAAGACCATCACGAAGCACGCGAAGAGAGAGGATCAGCAAAAGGTCTCAGCGACTTTAAACCGCTTTAGTTCTTCACCAGATGATAGTGGAACAGAGAGCAGCTGACTTTCTCTTCTGCTTCACCTGGTGTCCAATTAATGATGAATCCTGGGTTTTATTTAATTTACAGCAGAGTATTTCAGTATTTTTAGAAATAAAAGCAATGTCTGTGTTTTGTTTCCATTTCAGATGCCGAATGGAAAGCATAAAGGCTACCAGTCCGGTGATGAAGGTCAGTATCTAGAAACGTAGATCCATCATATTTGAGTTCTATTTCTTTCTAAAACATCTTCAAAGCTTTTTAAGGTTCACATAAAGCTTGACCAAAACGCTTTGCCCCACAATGAATCATGGGAAATGTAGGAATGTTTGGAATGTAGCTTAAACCATAGACATTATATATGTAGACGCCTCGTGCTAGGGGGCGGCCATCTTGGGTCAGACAGCTGCTGTCAGAATGAACAGGAGGCGCCTTAAATCTCATTTTAATCACATGAAAGACGAGTCAGAGAAAATATTTTTATTCTGATTAAAAATTAAACTTGACTGAAACTGGATGAGATATCTGCAAAGTTAATTTTTTTTATTAAAGATTAATATGAAAAACACTGAGTTTTATATTATTGGATTATGTTATAATATAATATATATATATATATATATACATATATTATATATTTATATTATTAATATTCAGTATTTTTAAGGATTGCTCTTTAATAATGAGTATTACGATTTATAGAGGAAAATTTGTTGTAATGTGAATTAGAAAAAACACTAAAGGTATTATTTTGTTTTTTTATTAATATTATGGTCATTTTTATTTATTTTTTTGTCATTCTCAATAATTTTTTGTGAAATCGTAGTGAATGGTAAATATATGTTGTTTCTAACTAAAGGCTTTTTGTCTTTATGTTTATCTAAACGTTTTCCAAAACTCTTTTTCAAACTATGTTTTTTTTATCATTATATACGCAAATGTGAACATTTTATCTTTAATCAGTTAATGTGTGTCAAACATAATATATATATATATATTTATATTTTAGAATTTGTTTTGGTCTTTTAAGGAGTTGTTAGATGTAAGAGATTATTGTAATATTATCTCTAACTCGTTTTTCATGTGATTAAAATAAGGCGCCTCCTATTCATTCTGCCAGCCGGTGTCTGAACTGTGGTCTGATCCAAGATGGCCGCCCTCAAGGCAACTCAGCCAGCGCCCAATGAGGCGGATATAGGAAATTTGGGGCCCTAGGCAAAGACCGGCACGAGCCAAAGGATTTTTATAAAAAAATAATTAATGTGAATAAATAAGGAATAGTTGTATTAACCGTACATGTTAACAGAGTTTTATGGGGCCCCGAGGAACTTGGGGCCCCAGGCAGCTGAATGCTCTTCAGTTTCTTTTTACATTTTGACTGAAACCATCTTTTTCCAGATTTTGAGTTCTCTGAAGGCAACAGTGCTTCAGGCTACGATGCTTCCTTCCCTGTGAGACCCAGCTACATAGCAGGAGGTAGATCCTCACCATGACTCCCTCTGTCGTTTCCACTGAGCCGGTTTCTCATCCGCTTCCTGTGTCTCTCCTTGCAGCTGGAATCGTGAACCCGGCCTTCATGCCTGACTTAGAGGACTGGTCGCCGGTGCACATCCCTCCCTGGTTGGCAGACGCCGAGCTGGAGGAGGACCCGGTGGCACCGTCAGAGCGAGCCCAGGTCAGGCTGCCATGGATGCGCGGACACCTCCACCGCCTGTCTTCTCTACGATCCAGCACTCGATCCGAGGAGCAGCCGGGGCGCCGAGACCAGCTGCCCCCACCTCCACCTCCACCTCGCCCTGACAGAGAGGAGGATCGCCTGTAGCTCCACCCAGAGACACAGAAACTGACCTCAGACTCTGCGCAGCTTCCAGGACGTCCACCAGAGAATCAAAACTTTCAAGGAAAATACTGTTTTTAAGTCAGCTACTTCATCCAGTTTGAGCTCATCGGAAAACATCGACTGCTACTGGGAACTCTGGTTGAACTGGATGAAGCGGTGCTTTGGGAGTTTCCGGTTCCCAAATGTGAGAAACCTGAATTCATGGAGGGTGGGGGGGCGTTTATGATTAGAGGGACATAAAAATCAAATCTATGATCTGAATTTATGCTTTTTATAATTTTTCTTAGAGCTTAATATATATCTGCTGTAAAAATGTTTATGTAAGATAAAAAGACAGTCATGTATTTATTCAGTTTTTCTTGTCAGGACTTCAGAGGCGGCACTTAGGATTTAACTTGTGTGAATGTTTTCTGACTGACTGGAAAACAGGCTTTAGAAATAAAACGGAAGAAACTTTTGGCTTCGGTGGAGTTTGTTTTAAACTTGAACTAAACCCAGATTCCATCTTTCTTTCTATAAACATGATAACCTCTCCTGATGTGGTTCTGTTGGCTTCATTAGTAGGGATGCACGATATTGGGATTTTGGCCGATATCCGATATTTTAAAGCTCATGTAGCCGATAACCGATATCGATACCGATGTTAAAGCTGGACAAAAATAAGTAGTCATTGAAAATAGCAGTTTTGTTATCCATTTCTGACACTGACACTTTAAAAAATAATAT